GCTTGATTTTCTTATTTCATAAATAAAATTTGCACGGAGATTGCGCTCCCTACTACGCTACCTATTTGGTGATTTTGATTTTTAAGGTGTTGATGCTACTTACTGGGAGGCTACCGATGGTCAAGAACTGCCAGGCAAATTTGTTTATGAAGTTCTTCCCGGATATCTTGATCCATTCCATAAAAGGCCCATAAAAGCTGGTGAAATCGGATGTTTTCTGAGTCATTACAGGTCAGTTGCAGATGCTTGTATTTCCCTTGCTTTTCTGACTTCTATGGTTACGTACCAGTCATCTGTACAGATACCACAACTGGCTCTTATCAAAATACACTAACCCTGATTTTCCAGAATCTGGCAAGATGTAATCAAAAACAGCTTTTCACGAGTGATTGTGTTCGAAGATGATCTGCGATTTTCTGACGATGGTTTGGAACGAATCAAAGAAGTTCTCGAAGACCTTGATGGCTCGAAAATGGAATGGGATTTGATCTACTTAGGAAGGAAGAAGCAAGCTGATCAGGTAAGTTCTCCGCTTATTGAGCAAGTTCCGGCAACATCTCGCAAAATCTTTTGTAGGAAGAATTGTGGGTACCTGAACATCGACATTTGAGTACGGTTGGGTATTCTTATTGGACACTCGGTTACATCCTCTCGAAAAGTGGCGCTCAAAAATTGTTGGATGCGAAGCCTTTGGAAGCGCTATTACCAGTTGATGAGTATTTGCCAATCATGTTTGACAAGCATCCAAATAAGGTGAGTAGGAGTTTGTTTTTAGAATTGGAAGAGAATAATTCTCGTCAAGTTTAGGTATGGTCTTCTTATTTTCCCAAACGAAACCTAAGAGCATTCACACTCTATCCGTTGACTGTATTCCCGCAACGATATACGCATGAGGAAGGTTATGTTAGCGACACTGAGGATTCGCCAATAGTTGCTGGAGAAGTCGACACTAGAAGTCAGAAAGATCTCGCTGATGAAGTCGACAATAAAGGTTTGAAGGAGGATGTAGCTGTAGTCAAGCCCAAGAATCCGAAGAAAGACGAGCTCTGACTTGGATTTATATAGGTAACTAGCTGGGATACCTGGCTTCGGTCGTTCCCTTTCGACAGTACCATGATGGAAATGATTTTTCCGTCAAACTTCACACAAAATTTGTGCGTCTTTCTCAAATCTATCAGTCAATTCTTTGAACACATTATGATATCCAGCACGCTCATTTGCCCTTTATAACAACTCTCATCGCCCCAGCTCAAATTTTGCAAAAAAAAAAAAATCGATGATAGCGATGGATAATTTTAGAAACGGTTGTTATATTCGTAATCAGCAATCTCACTTACCACCAGCCAGATGCCAACTCCTACTGTTAGCTTACAATTTTCTGAATAATTAACTGATACCAATCGATATTAAAAAGCGACCCATGGCACCCGCCCCGCCCCCCGAAGTGTATGGTATGTGCAAAGTTTGGTCCGGATTGGTTCAGAGATATTCAGCTTTCTATAAGATAGTATCTGTTACTCATAGTATCAAATGCGTTCATAGTTTTCTACATTCCCGCCAAGTCGCGCCGTGACCATCCAATTGCAACATTTTGCACACTGCCTCCCACGTTCTTGCTAGTTTCTAGTTTGGAAAAAGCCGCAAGGAAAAATTCATAGAGAGAAAATTTTTTTGCTCATTCTTCCGCCACTGAAGTGGAAATACTGCGCTTGCAGTGCTATTTGTCGGGAAAGCTTGCCTGAAATACAGCTGCAACTATAAAGTTTTAAAATAAAGTTGCTTTATGCGTCTTCTCTA